ATCCAGCTGACCTGTAGGCTCATGCTCAAGTGCATAAGTATCTGAGATGGCATGCTGACAATATCTGTGGCATCTTTGGTGTGCCTCTGTGGACCCTGGTTAGTCGAGTCATCTAGGAAAGGGTTTGACTCTCAGGGACCTAGAAAGAGGTGAAGGTACAGACTGAACCCATCCTCTGCCAGCATCAGGTGGGAGCAACAACCATTGAGACCCAGGTGGAATGCAACTGGACCGTATGGATTGATTTCTGTGGCAGCTGGAGGACATGTTCCTGGAAGACAGGGCCTTCCTTGGTGGCCAAAAGGTGACGCTGGCTGATCTCATGTCTCTGGAGGAACTCATGCAGGTATGAGATCATCTGGTGGAGTGGTGGTTGTGGTGACACACCTCCTGTACCCCCTCCATAAGTAACAGAAACACTAAGGGCTGTGGAAAGGCAGGAATATCCAGAATCCAGAGTAAGTCTCTGACTAAACTGGGACCAGAGCCTGACCTTTTGCTTCCCACCTGGGTGTGGGATCTCATCCACCTGTTGCCAGGTCCTGAAGCTGGTCACACTGCCCTGGGCCTCATGTAGGGTTTAGGGAGGGGCCATGACCCTGATACCCATGCAAGCTCCCAGAATTAGTGCCTCAGTAGCTCCACAACTTTCCTGTCCTTGTCTTCCAGCTTGTGGCTGTTGGGTATGACTTGTTTGAGGGACGGCCACGATTGGCAGCATGGTGTAAGGGAGTGGAGATTTTCCTGGGAGCTCAGCTGTGGCAGGAGACCCTGACCCCATCTTCAGCATCCTTGAACAAGCAGCCAAAAGAGCGTTATCGGTGCCCCCGCCAGAAATCCATCTGAGAATGCTGCTTTGTATTGCTCGAATCCCCTGAATGGTCTGATTAGCAATAAGAATTCATTGTTTCTTTCTGTTCTTTCAACCTTTTTCATCTTGCCCCAGTCCCTTGTCTCTGACTCTGGGAGGCGCTCTGCACAGGTGAAACACCAGGTTACCCTTGACGGTGCTCCTCAGGTGCAGCATACATAGCCAATAGGAGACTAAAGTCTACAATACGTAAAGAGCTCTTAAAATCAATAACATGAAGGAAAAATTAATTTAAAACTGGCAAACACCATCTGTGTTTTAAATATAATAAAGATCCTGAACATTTTGAATAAGGAACCAAGAGTTATTAGTTTTATTACACTGTTCTAATTAATGAATGGGGTAAAATTACCCCAGTAAACCTTATGATTAATCAAAGAAATCTCACAGATAACAAGTTCATAAAACATTATTACCAACACAACAAAATGATTAGTTAATGACTAATTAGAACTGTAAACTAAGCCAGGTGCTTGTGACTTGTACCTGTAATCCTAGCTACTTGGGAGGGCTGAGGTTGAGAGGATTACAGTTCAAAGCCAGCCTGGGCAAATAGTTTGCAAGACCAAACTTAACCAAAATAACCAGAGCAAAATGAACTGGAAGTGTGGCTCAAGTGGTAGAGTACCTGATTTGCAAGCATGAAGCCCTGAGTTGAAACCTCAGTCCCACCAAAAGAAGGAGGAGGAAGAGGATAAGAATAATTGCAAACCATTAAAGTATATAGATGATGTTTCACAGAACATAGTAACTGTCTTTGAAGTCTAACGAACTTAAAAGATTTCTTTCTAAAAGCACTCCTTCTTTCTTTTTTTTTAAATTTTTTTTCATTCATATGGGCATACAATGCTTGGGTCATTTCTCCCCCCTTCCCCCACCCCTTCCCTTACCCCCCCACCCCCTCAATACCCAGCAGAAACGATTTTGCCCTTATCTCTAATTTTGTTGTAGAGAGAGTATAAGCAATAATAGGAATGACCAAGGGTTTTTGCTGGTTGAGATAAGGATAGCTATACAGGGCGTTGACTCACATTGATTTCCTGTGCGTGGGTGTTACCTTCTAGGTTAATTCTTCTTGATCTAACCTTTTCTCTAGTTCCTGGTCCTCTTCTCCTATTGGCCTCAGTTGCTTCAAAGTATCTGCTTTAGTTTCTGTGTTAAGGGCAACAAATGCTATCTAGTTTTTGAGGTGTGTTGCCTATCCTCACCCCTCCCTTGTGTGCTCTCGCTTTATCATGTGATCAAAGTCCAATCTCCTTGTTGTGTTTGCCCTTGATCTAATGTCCGCATATGAGGGAGAACGTATGATTTTTGCTCTTTTGGGCCGGCTGACCTCACTCAGAATGATGTTCTCCAATTCCATCTATTTACCAGCGAATGATAACATTTCGTTCTTCTTCATGGCTGCATAAAATTCCATTGTGTATAGATACCACATTTTCTTGATCCATTGGTCAGTAGTGGGGCATCTTGGCTGTCTCCATAACTTGCCTGCCTACCTTTCTGTGGCTTTAGTGCCCCTCCTGTGTCACTTCCAGCCTGGAGCACCCCATGGCTGGTGAATGCCTGCTCTTCTGTTAAGAAGTTCCCCATACTTTCAGGGGCACCTGTACCCCGGCCTATCATTTCCAGGAGGAGCAGCTATGGTCCCAGAACTGCTTATAGGGCAGTCTAAATATGTGAATAGGGCCAGGCACCAATGACTCACACCTGTAATCCTAGCATTCAGGATTCGGAGATCAGGAGGATCCCTGTTCAAAACCAGCCTGGGCAAATAGTTCCTGAGACCCTGTCTCAGAAAAAAGAAATTACAAAAAAGGGCTGATGGAGTGGCTCAAAGGGTAGGCCTTGAGTTCAAACCCCAGTCTTGTATACAGATATATATATATATATGATATGAACAGGGATGCTGAGAGATGAAGGCAGAGGGGACACTGGGAAGGAATTGTAGCAAGATGTAAACTGGCTTTTGAACCATACTGTGAAGGGGGCATTGGTTTCTACGCAATGGGGAACTTCCTGGGTTTGTGACAGTCAGGGAAATGCCAGAGCTGGGCGGAGGAAGGGACAAGGGGGATTTATCAACTGACAGACATTTCTTCTGCCAGAGGTTTGCAAGCTTCTCAGAGAGGGGGGCATGGCTACCATATGAGAGTCAAAGCCACTGCCACTGACCTGGCCCTGCCCATTCTGAATTTTAAATACCAGACAGTGGGCCTGCAGGTTTGCTCCTGTATGTAGGCTGGCATGGTAACTGTGTCCAGAGCACTTTTGACATGCTCGTGTGGACACAGTTGAGAAAGGCAACTGAGGCAGAAATTATCACAGGGTGTGGGCAGAAGCAAGGTGCCCAAGGGAGGGGGACAGCTGAGTTTACCCTCTGCCTACCTGAAAGGTGCTGGCTGTGCTCAAGGAGAAGCTGAGCAAGCTGCCATAACCAGGTACTGGATTCCTTTTGGGGCCACCAGTTGACCGTAGCTGACCTTGTGGTGCTGGAGGAACTTGGAGCACTTGAGCTGCCTTCTTCCACTGGTTCTGCCCTGGTACCACCTAACTTCTTGCCTGCTTCTGGCAGAGCATGGTAGGATCTCTGCCTGGCTGCTCTCAGATCCTGCAGCTGTCTCCCTGCTGTGGACAATGACGTGAATGTCTCTTCCTGTGGTGGTGTCCGTGGAAGGAAGGCCTCAGCTGCTATGTGTTGGAGGCACAGCTGTGGCATGGCAATATGGAGGCTTTCTTGGTACAGAAATGTCCCAGGAGGCCCTCAGCCCTATCCTGAGCACCTGAGGCAGACAGTTAGGGTCTCTGCATGAATCACATCAGAGGTCCTCTTGGAGGACTAAATGACATAGTAAAGATTTCTCTCCTCATCTGTCCTTGTCCATCTCCTCCAATGATTCCCTGTGAGTCTCTGTCGAATGAGTGAATTGTTCATTCTGCCTTCCTCCTCACCTGTTTTCCCCCATTTGGTTACTTGTTATTCCTTCTCTCTCTCTCTCTCTTCTTTGTCTGTTCCATTCTTTCATTCCTCCCCTTTACTGCACGACTACGGCAAATCTAAAACGGCAAATCTAGATGAGGGGTTGCCTGAGAAGGATGAGGCTATTACCCCAAGGGAAGCAGGTCAAGGGCTTCTGGTACCTTTGGGCAAGCTAGACCTGAGCACAGCTTTCCACCCACAGGCTTTGCTAGGTGACCACTTGCTCTACTTGGTCTGCCTGGACACAGGACAGCCAGCTCTGGGACAGCTCTGGATCCTAGTGCTGTCTGGTCCTAGAGCTCCCACTCTGCTGTGGAAGGAACTGTGTTGATTTTGCTCTGGGCAGTTCCCAGAGCTTCTCCTTGGAGAGAGCCAATGGGCTGGCCAAGAGGTCAGCTTTGCACCTGTGCCCTGGCACCTCATTCTCAAGAGCAGTAGCCACAGTCCCAGAACTCATTCACAGTGACCCTGCTTGACACTGTCAGACTGGCCAAGGGTTACAGGGTCTCCACTCACAGGCTGACCCGTGTGCTGTCCCTAGAACCAGGGGTGGCATCAGTCCCATGTAAACCACATAGCCTGTGACTGGAGGAGGGCTGTCTCCCAAAGTACACTTCACTGGCGGACTTCAGATCCTTTGAGACATGGGCCTTTGGCAGGTGTTCAAGGTCCAAACTGCAGCACCCAAACTCCTGTGTCTCTTTCGTAGCCCTACACTGGACTAGATTTACCTAAGGATACCTCCTGTCCTTACTTACAGCCCTGCAAGGTTAGCTCTCTTTGTCTCATTCTCATTCTGAACTCTGCAAATCCCCTTTTGTCATGTTCTTCATTGAAAGCCTGGCACTGGGATGCTCATACATGAGCCTTTCTCAAACAGTGTGTCTGTGAGATGGAACCACAAGGTCCATGCAAGAGCCTGGCCCTCCACTCAGCCCTTTGCCCGCTCCCCACTCCAAGGTCTCCTCAGAATCCTTGCTACTGTGAGAATTCCAGACTTCCTGGCTTCATAGCAACACCAAGGGAAATAAGAAATTCCAGAATGTGGGGTCCCGGGCTCAGGTCAGAGAAGGCACCAGGCCAGGAGCTCAGGCTAGATACAGGCTCAGGTTTGTATCTGTGGCTATAGGGCCCAGAAAGTATTTGAGCATGGGCCTGGAGCTCTATATGGATCTTCTTTCAGCACCCTGCCGTGCCGTCTACATCTTTGCCAGGAAGAACAGCATTCCTTTTGACTTCCAGTTTGTAGATCTACTGAAAGGTCAGTTCCCAATGCCACCCAGGCAGGCCTGATCCTTCCCCAGGTCAGTCCCCATTGCTACCCAGTCACGACACCAAAGTAGGAGCATTTCTGAGGAGTGGAGACAAGGACCAAGGCAAATCCCACAAAGGTCTGCAGGGAAAGAAAAGGTAGCAAGATTGTCAAGGTACCCAAGCTGCGTCCCTGTCTAGTCTACTTTACTCAGTCCCAACTAATGACAGTTACCCCAGTGGAATAAAAGGGCTCTTGGAGGTTAAAGAGGAAGGAAGGGTTTCTAGGGTATCCCAAGATTCCCAGCCAGAACCCTTGCCATCACCTTGTGCATATCTCACATCTCATTATCTGTAGTACCTTCAAACCAGACTGGTAAAGGTCGAAGAAGGGCACTGCCATTGCCCATGTGAGAGAGCAGATGGTGTTTAGTCTACACCCACTCTCCTTCAGAATTCACACCTAACTCAGGAGGCTAAGGGTGTGGTTCAGTGATAGACTGCTCAGCTAGCAAGCACACAAGCCCTTGGTTCCATCCCCAACATCCAAAAAAATTATATGGACAAAACCTGCATATGGCCACACAGATCCCCATGTGGGGGTCATAGATCGGGCTCCAACCTTACTCCAAGCATACAGAAATCTCTAAAAGCTCAGCTATGGAGACAGAAGCTCTAGACTATAGAAAAGATGTAGGAACTACAGAAATGAATGAGATGTGAATGGAGTCCCAGAAAAGTTTCCATTTGGAAGCAAGTGGTCAAAGACGATTTAGAGTTCTTGCCCCCTTTAGAATTCCCTGTTCATATTGGGTGACCCCAGTTGATTTGAGGAGCTCCTCTTTGGGCTTCCTGTTATATTTTAGACCCATGTTTTCTGTGCTGCCAGCGGCAGCTGCCCTGTGGTAGAGTGAGGGGTGACAGGAGTGGAACTGAGGCCTATAGAGCTTGGGTTAATTCACAGGTTGTAGCTTCAGGCCCAAGGATCAGGATAGGTACTGGAGACCTCCAGCTTCTGGGAGCCAAAGGGCCACCTTGGTTTCAGAGAAAAAGGGTCACCAAGTCTGGGGTAGGGGAAGGCTGGAAGGCAGGAGTCCTGATCTTGGTCCCTGTCCTGTCATTGACTTTCCCTGTAACCTGATGCGAGTCATGGTGGTCCCTCAGCCTCAGTTTCTCTTCTTCTGGATGAAGAATAGTTCAGTCTCTGGGAGTTCCAGTTCTCTCTTCTCTGATGTCCCAGCAGCCTCAGACCCTTCCTTCTCCCCTCAGGTCACCACCACAGCAAGGAATACATTGAGATCAACCCCCTGAGGAAACTGCCCAGCCTCAAAGATGGAAAATTTATCTTATCTGAAAGGTAAGGACCCTCTTACTGCCTTTCTCTGCTCCTTCTGGGAGACTCAGTGGGAACCAACTTGCTAGTATTTATTTTTTTTAACTGTGGAAAATTTCACCCGTACAGTAAAGGAGAATGGGTACTAACCAGCAAGGAGTATAGCGATCCCTCCCACAGCTTTAACGGTTGTCCTCTTGGGGCCCATTTTCTATCATCTGCACCTCACCCTGCTCCCTTTTCTTCTAGGTACCCCATCATTTCATTCAAAAAATGATTAGGAATGTACCTCTAAGAGATAAGGACTCTCTAAAAATGTATCATCTCCACATCACTAACACCTAGCAACACTCCCTGGATTTCACCAAATATCCAAGTCCTATTCAAAAGTCTGATTATCTCTTAAATATTTTCTTGACAGTTTGTTTGAATCAAGGTCCAAAAAAGTTCTGAATACTGCAGCTGGTTGATCATCCCTTATGCCTCTTTTTATCTGTAGATCCCTAGCTGAGTCCATTTTGGGTTTCTATAACTGAATACTACAGACTGGGTAATTTACAAAGAACAGAGGTTGAATTTAGCTCCTGAGTCTTGAGGCTGGAAAGTCCAAGAGCCTGGAGCTAGCATCAGCTTGGCATCTGGTGAGGGCCTTCCTGCTGGGTCATGGTGTAGTACAAAGTATCACATGGTGAGGCAGAGCAAGCAAACCAGAGAAAGCTTGCTTTTATACACAAAGCCACTCCTGTGATAACCTAATTAATCCAATAATCCTTTTATCCATGAATGCATTAATCCATTCACAAGGGCAGAGACATTATGACCCGATCACTCTTAATGGTTCCAGTTTTTAAAACCTCACATGTAATGTAGATTAAGTTTCAACTTCTGTTTTGATGAGAATACTCAAACAATAGCATCCTCTCTTTGCCCCAATTTCTTAATCTTTGCGTGTTTACTGTTAATGACTATAAAGAAACTAGGCCTTTTGTCCGATGGAATTTCCTATACCAGCCATCAGTCAGCAAGCCTGGAACATTCCTCCTACAGCATGTCTTCAATCTGTCCCCTCCCCTGTATCCCTGAGACCTCTGCTCTCCTCTATCCCCTCCAGAAGCTGGAGCTACCAACTTGGTCTCCCTGTGGTAGATTCTGCTCCCTCTATCCAGCACCAGAGGTACAGATCCTCCTATCCTCCATAATATTAAAGATTAAGCCCTAACTCTTCCCTGCATCTCCAAGGACCTCCACACTTGGTCTCCACATCATCTTGGCTGTTTTCTCCTCTCCCCATGTCCCTCCATCCCCCTTCCCATCCACACTCACCTGCTCTCCATTCTCCAAATTCACCTCACTCCCTCTCTTATCTTAGGATCTTGACACATGTTGTTCCCTTGTCTGGACTGCCTTTTCTTATGCCATCCCCTGACTCCTGGTCACCCTTCATGCCTCCCTCCCTGCCCTTACTGACTATTGGACTGACACCTTGGGAGAACTTTCCCAGGGTCCTTTGAGCTCCTTCTTCCTCTGGAAGAATGTCAGCACATAGAACATGCCTGTAGTTGGAGGCCTCAACAGTTGGGCCCAGGCTATTCAGAAGTGATTGGTGTCAGGGCCTTCAAAAAGCAAGAGCAATGGCCCCGATCTGTCCTTTCTGCAGTGTGGCTATCCTTTTCTACCTGTGCCGCAAGTACAGTGCACCCTCCCACTGGTACCCACCAGACCTGCACACTCGTGCCCGTGTGGATGAGTTCATGGCCTGGCAGCACACAGCCATTCAGCTGCCCATGAGCAAGATACTCTGGATTAAGGTGAGCAGAGCTATGTTTGGGGTTCAGGGACAAAGGAACAAGAGAGGCAGGAAGCCTAAGAGTCCAGTCCTGGCCCTGCTGTTCACTGGTGAGCTCAAGCAAGGCCCCTTCCCTCTCTGAACCTTGTTTCCTCTGCTCCCTCTCCTGCCTGCCTCAAAGAGTTGCTGGGAATATGGAATGAACTATTGGGTATGAAAATATCTTGTTAAGAAAAGAGGAAGGATGCCCAAGAAGGGCTGATATGATTCAAGTCAGAACAGGATTCAAGAAATTTCATTCTGAACTATAGACTATTAAAGGGACCATAGAGTTCAGAAAATTCAAAGATAACAAATAACTAGCACATATCCCTACCTCTAATCCTATGCCTGTGTGTTAGTCTATTTTCTATTGCTATTATAAAACACCTGAGGTTGGGTAACTTATAAAGAAAAGAGGTTTATTTAACTCACAGTTAAACAACATGGCTCTGGTTAGGGCTTCATGGCTGATACCATCATGGTGGAGGCAAGTTGGAAAGGAATCAGATGGTGAGACAGGAAGCCAGAGAACAGGAAGGGGCCAGTCTTGCACTTTGATAAGAACTTGTTCTCTTAAGAACTAATTCAGAGCTGGGCACAGTGGCTCATGCCTGTAATCTTAGCTACTTGGGAGGCTGAGATTGGGAGGATCACAGTTTGACATTAGCCTAGGCAAAGAGTTGACAAGACCCCATTCCCTGAGTTCAAACCCTACTTCTGCCAGAAAAAAAGAAAAAAAAAGAGAGAATTCATTGAGTGTCCTATGAGAACTACCTGTTCTCTTAAGAACTAACTTGGTGTCCCAGGAAAATTACTTCGATCTCTTCTGACCTCCTATTTAGGTTCCTCTTCTTAAAGATTCTACCACTTCTCACATTACCATACTAGATACCAACTTTCCAACACATGAACACCTGGGGATACACTCAAACCAAACCCAAGTCCTATCAACCTATGACAGACAACATTAGTCAACCACAGCATTCATTCTTGCTGGGGTCTCAAAATCCTTCTGAACACAGACCCCAGGCCTCTTCTACCAAAAAATACCACTTAATAGGTTAAACAATTTACATCCTTGATACTGTCCAATATCTATCTAACAGGCAGGATAGGTCGACATAGAGGGACAGAGGGAAGTGGGATGCAGTCTCTATGTTCCCTCCTTCCTTCACCTGGCCAGTTGCTAATCCCGATGATCACTGGTGAGGAAGTTCCTGATGAGAAGACAGACCAGGTGATGGAAGAGGTGAAGAAAAACATGCAGCAATTCGAGGATAAGTTTCTGCAGGACAAGATGTTCATCACCGGGGACCACGTCTCCCTGGCTGACTTGGTGGCCCTGGTGGAGATGATGCAGGTGTGTGGTGGGGTGGTGCGGTGGTGGTCAAAGCCTTGGCGGAAGCAAGATGCTTCTGGGATGAGTGGGGCCGTATAACTTGAGGACAGACTGGTGAAGTAGGAGAGGCAAGCAGGGCTATCCTGAGGGTTGTGGGAGCCGGGTCTGAGTGTCTGGACTCCAAAAGCAGCACAGAAAGTTTTGAATTGGAGAGGATTATGATTATTTAGCTTGACAAGGATTGTACAGCATGGGGAGGAGTTAGAGGATAAACCTGAAATGCAGAGAAGAACATGGCATGTCTCAATCCATCCATCAGGATCCCAGATGCCTCCTCCTCCTGCTGATGGACTCCCCAGGAAATAAAAGTTCAGAGACTCCAGATGTGTCCTCTTGGCCTTGTCTCTCTTCCAGAGCTCCAGGCAGATAGCTGTATAGTGCAGCTCCCCTGACTCTGGGACTGAGTAGCATCCACTGTGAATTTGGAGGCATACCTAGGTGTTGGCTTTTACATGGTCTTTACAGGCAGAGAAGAGCGGCCAGTTCTGAGCTACCTGGTATGTGCAGGTTAGCTAATTTAGACACTACCTGGTCAGCGTCTTGAAAGGCCAGCATAGTCTGGCCACTATGCAAAGTGGCCACTTTGGTCCCTGGTCAATGTGCAGTGCAGAGGAGCACCAGGAAAAACTATTCTGGCCTGTCCCAAGTATAGAACCCTGTGTTTCAACCTCCCATACCTTTCATACTTTGCCACCTCAGCCCGTTAGGACTCCTGAACAGTGCTGAACTGTGAGGCAGGCTGCCTGCCAGATCTCCTCCTTCTATGTTTGATAACAGAAGGAGGTACAACATGGGGCGGGGAGGAAGAACTGAGTCCCCCTCCAATAGGGACAAGGGACTTCCCTAGAAGAAGGCAGGACTCATGGAAGGCTTCAGGCAGGAGAACGTGGGAACCACTAGGACAGGTGTCACCTCAGAAAGGGGATCAGGATTCTTGGAATAAGACCAGAGAACAAGAGCAGAAGCAGGTGGAGAGGACCCTTGAGGCTGTAGGTGATGATCCAGGTAGTGCTGCTCCGTAGGCTAACCACATCTTCTTGTCTACCCACAGCCCATGGCAAGCAATTATAATGTCTTCCTCAGCAGTTCCAAGGTAGCCGAATGGCGTATGAGGGTGGAGCTGGCCATTGGCTCTGGCCTGTTTTGGGAGGCCCATGATAGGCTGGCGAAGTTGTCAGATTGGGACTGTTCAACACTGGATCCAATGGTCAAGGAGAGGATCTGTGAGTTTCTGCAGAAGCACATGTGATCCCAGAGGCCGTTCATCCTGCAGGGCCCAGCTGGCTCAGCCCTCTGAGCCTCCTTCCTTAGGGAAGACACTGACAACCAACTCTGTTCCTTTGCCTAATAAAGAACTGGAACAACACCATGGCTGCTGAGTTTCAGGGATAGTTAGTGTAAGCAGAGAGCCTGATTTGGGAGTATTTGGTAGTCTCAGGTCCTCTAGGGTTCCAGAAAGAATGTAGAATTAAAGGTTAAATCTGATTACATTGTAAATAACAGTTCATGACTTCAACATCCCCTTTCAGTATGAGAATAACAAAGATCATCAAAGAACAACAGTAGAAAACACTTGGATCTAGAACAATAGCAGATTAAACACTTTCCTAAAGTATATATATATATATGTTTGGCCACAACATAAGTCTCAAATTTAAGAAGATTGAAATCATGCAAAGTATGTTTTCTGAACACAACAGAAAATTCATGAGTTTGTAGAAATTAAACAACACACTCAAAAACAACCAGTGGATCAAAATACTGCACACAAGCCCGGAAGCTTTGCTCCTTGCTGGTACCAAGATCTCTGGGGTGTTGGTCTAAGACAATGGACCCTCCAAACCGATTTTCTGGTTTTATCATTACTCAGTGCCTCAGTTTCCCCATCTGTAAAATGGGGACGATTGGAAACTCTGACATACGCTATGACACAGATGCACCTTGAAGACATTATGCTAAGTCAAATAAGCGAGTCACTTTTGTGACTGGGCTGGAACTGGGGTCCCTTTCCATCTCCCTCATCCCCGCAGGGTTGACCACTCTGGCTCTGCTGGGGCAGAGAGCCCAGAGGCCTCAATTCCTGGGACTTGTCCTTGGCTAGCCAGCAATTGGAGGAAAGTGCCCACGCCCATGAGGGCGTGGCCGCGCCAGGCCTGGTCTGAGACCAGAGACCCGCCTGAGTTTTTGCTGTGTCCCTCAGGTTTCTGGTGCCCACCACCTCCACCATGGTCCTGGAGCTCTACCTGGACCTGCTGTCCCAGCCCTGCCGCGCCATCTACATCTTCGCCAAGAAAAACGGCATCCCCTTCCAGCTGCGCACCGTGGAGCTGCTCAAGGGTGGGTGGGGTGTCAGGTTTAGAGAACCGAGAATGCGGGGGGAGGGGCAGAGCAAGAAGCAAACGTAATTTAGAGGATCCGTGCCTGTTGGGGCCTTCCTTGGTCTGCTTTGGAGACCAGGTGAGAAAAGTGAGTCACTAGGGAGATCCAAGATTCGGGACTCCCCTAGATTGTGCTGTCCTATGGAATAGATAACAAGGGCTCATCTGCTGCAGATTAAGAGGGGGAGGCGCCTGAAGAGAGAAGAGACCTGCAAACTGAAATGGGTGTGGCCTGGACTTGGGGGTGCGGGGGATCGTGAACCTCCAGAAAAGAGGAGGAGGAGGGAGGGGAGCCAGGAGATCAAGTGTACAGACTGACACAGTCAAGTCCCTCCTTCGTGGTCCCCAGTGTTGAAACTGGCAAGTAGCACGCAGAGGAAGCATTGCTTGGTGGACCTGCGTTTCCAGCCTAGACTCTGTTGAGTGGCTTTTGTCCCTTTCTTCTGCTTTTCCTGCTTTGCCTTACTTACCTTGTCCCCCGCCTCTCTTGTCTAGCTAGGGAAAGATTTGTCCCCAAAGCTATGCTAGGAACGGGAGCCCCTCCTCCACAGCGGGAGTTGCTGAACCCTGAGCAGGGAGGCTTGTTTGTTTCTCTGGCCTGGCGGCTGAGGCCCTCAAGGACACTGCTGGCAGGTCTGAGCCTCGCGGGGGTGGGGTGGTAGGAAGAGATGACAGCACAATTTAAGTGTTGCTCCGGGTGGGCAAGTGGGGCAACTCTACTTGGCTAAACTTTCTACCCAGCGCTCCTGCTGTACCTTTGCGCCTTTGTGCTGCCTGTCCCTCTGTTAAAACTTCACCTCGTCCTAGTCTTCTCTGGTGACAGCTGGCTTACCCCCACACAAGCGTTGCCCCTGCAGACTATGGGGCAAGAAAAAGGGCCCGGCCCGGGAGTAGGGATGCACATGGAGATGCATTTCACCAGGAAAAGAGAGAGGGTGCGCCTGGTGAAGGAATTATCTGACAGAGGGTAATGGGAGGATAGCAAGAAGACTGGAGAAAAAACACTATTGTGTAGAGCTTGGAGGATCTTCCACCCGATTCAGGCTTAACAGTGAGCCACTGAGGGCTGTGGAGCAGAGAAGCAATGAGACAGATATTCTTTCTTTACTTTTTCTTTGTCTGTGTGCTGCTGGGGTTTTGAATTTAGGGCCATCTTATTTGGTTAAGATGGATTCTTTATAACTTTTTTCTTCATGACGTTTTTGTCTCAAGATCTCCCTCTCCTTAGTAGCTAGGATTATAGTTGTGTACCACCTCTCATGCTGGGCTGTCTGCAGGCCAGCACCTCAGCGATGCCTTTGCCCAGGTGAACCCTCTGAAGAAGGTACCTGCCATGAAGGATGGGGACTTCACCTTGACTGAGAGGTAACTGAACCACTGGGGCCGCTGCCACACCTTGCTGGAACCATCCTGTCCTGGCTATCTGTGTTATAGATAAGGAAACTAAAGTCCTCAGTGGACTTTGGCCCATATACCACAGAGCTGGTGCTGGAACTCAGACCCCTGCCTGCCTGCTCTTCTAGCTCATTAGGCAGGTTGGAGAACCAGGCACCTGCTTTACTTCTGCACCATGCCTCTGGTTGTTGATGAGAGTATCCATGGGGCAGGGTTCAAGACAAGGAAACAGGGTAAGGAAGAAAGGTAGCTTCATCCACCATGGGGCAGCCTTCTGGCCCAGCTTGTGTGGAGATGGCCTAAAGGCTTCCCTGGGTGAGTCTCCCCCTCAAGAGATCCTCCAGACATGTGAGTGTTTTACATCACAGCAGGTTGCAAGGAAGTTGAACCTTCCTTCTTCAGGGAAGGACAAGCCTTTTCCCAGTTCTGCCCCTTTTGTCACCTGGGTTGCCAGCTATCCCATAGCAAGGAAAACCTAGAGTTTATGCTTTAGAGCTCATCTCTGGAATCTCAAGATGGATGCACCCGGATGAAGTCCTCTGACATTCTGCCACTGCTGTTCTTCCTTCCTGGTGCCACCAGTGTCCTCAGTCTTTGTCTACCCAATGTTGACCTCCTACATGTACCAGCTGGAGGCAATCTCTGCACTTCTCTCAACCTTGGGTTTCCCTCAGAGGTGCCTTGAGCAATTAGCTGGGAGCAAAAAGAGCATCAGGGCAACGAAGTCACTAAACTGGATTGAGGATGCAGGACTTTTAAGCGAGAACATGATGCTGTGGCAGATCAGAGGTTTTCTGTCCTTTGTGCTAGAGCACCCAACCCTCAAGATACTCCAAATTCCTGAAAATTTCCTATGACCCAAATCCATACATCCTCTGTGTCCTTTAAGGTCCATCCTCTTCCCTACACTATGATAAACCCTCATAACCCAGGACAGAAGCAGAGGGCCAGGGAGCCTTGTTTGCCAGGAACCTGCAGCACCCTGAAGAAAGTTTCCTGGATAAGGTTTTAAGGAGTCAAATCACATCTGTAGATTTATATAGGAGCTGATTTTTAGAAGAAAGAGTGACAAAAGAACAAAGGAATGATGAGAAAGTCTTTCTGAACCATGAGGCCATTGGAGGCTGGTCTGCATGCCAGAGGATGAGAGTGGATGCAAACTGGTGAGAAATGAGCTTCCTCAAGGCTCAGCTTGTGTGACACCTCTTCCAGGAAGCTCTCTCTTGTCCTGTGATCAGAAACTGTCTGAACACTTGACTGGACACTCTGCTGTGGGATTTTTACCTGGTAGTAGAATAAGCTGGAGTTTTAGCCCCAGAAAGACTCTCAGGTCTGTTAGTACGGGCTGTGTGACCTGGGACAAATCCCTTTCCTTTTTAAAGCCTGCTTCCCTTAGCTGGAAAATGAGGGCCATACTTTGGCAGATTATCAGGAAGATCAGGAATGTACTGGGTATAAAGTCCCTAGCACAGTGCCCTCTCCCATCCATTATGTCACACCTCCCACCCCACAGTGTGGCCATCCTGCTCTACCTGACACACAAGTGTAAGGTCCCTGACTTCTGGTACCCTCAGGACCTGCAAGCCCGTGCCTGTGTGGATGAGTACCTGGCATGGCAACACACAACCCTGAGGAGAAGCTGCCTCCGGGCCCTGTGGCATAAGGTGAGCCTGGAAGGATGGGAGGACAGTGAGGACAAAATCCCAAAGGGGTTCAGGCAAAACCAATTTCTTCTTTTTGGTTTGGGTATTTTCTATTGCCTTTGGCTTCACTAATCCTTTTGTTGAGGCTGCTTGGCTGTCAAGTCTATGTAATACACCTTTTATTTGAGATATGCATTTTTCTTTTTTTTTTTAACCCCTCAATCATTCTTCCTTTATCTCTTCTCCCCCATTCCTGTAAAAGATATGTATTTTTCATTTCTAGAAATTTCACTTGCTTTTGTAGTTTTCATCTCTCTTCTGAAATTCACTCATTTTGTTCATCTTTTCTTTAAAAATTAACATATTTGTCATTTTTAATTAAAAGTTTTTGTCAGCTAATTTCAAGACCTGGGTCCTCTGTGGATCTGTTTCTATTGATTTTTTTTTTGCCTCTTGACTATGGATTGCATTTTTCTGATTCTTTACATGTTTCATAAATTGTGTGCCAGATATTATAGATAAAAGAAGAGTAGAAGTGTATAAGAAATTGAAGTATGTAATAAATACCCAGAAAGGGCTTGCACTTGCCTTGTTAGGCAGCTGGGCTGTGAGGCTCATCTCTTCCAGCTAATGAGGAGATGGGCTGGGTTGTGGGTTTAGTTCGTTTCAGTTCAGCCCTGGTTTCAAACAGATAATCCCCAATTTATAATGTTTCAATTTTTCAATTTTATGATAATGTGAAAGCAATACATGTTCAGTAGAAACCATACTTTTTTTTTTTTTTCCAGTACTGGGGTTTTAACTCAGGGCTTTGCGTTTGCTAGGCAGGCGCTCAACTACTTGAGCCACTCCGCCAGCCCTGTTTTCTGTTGGAGTTTCAGCTGGCTTCAAACTGTGATCCTCCTGATCTTTGCCTCTTGAGTAGCTAGGACTACAGGCATGAGCCACCAGTGCCCGGCAAGAAACCATACTTTGAATTTTCATCTTTCTGCTGGCTAGTGACATGATGTATGATACTCTCTCACCATATTAAGTAGTGGCAGTGAGCCACAATTCTAGCTGTACTGTATGCTAATCTGTGAAGTTCAGTAGGTTAGGTATATTGAATGCTTTTTTGACCTATGATGCTTTCTACTTAATGATGGCTTTGTCAGGATGTACCCCATGATAAGTCGAGGAGCATCTATATCTTGAAGGTAAGATTGGGTTACTCACTCATCCCAGCGGGGCTTTGGGAAAGAATGGTGATTACCCAGAGCAGGGAGAAGGGTAAGAACATCACTCCAAAGTGTCTCAGGCAACATCACATTCTGACCTTGTCTTTCACTGTTTCTTCAGTTGTACCTGGGTTCTTGTTAAACTCATCTAATAATTCTTATTTGAGATATGTATTTTTCATATCTAGATACTCCATTTGATACCAAGTGCCAACTATGAAATGTAAAACACATCCAGAGGATATCCTCAACAAATTTCTTGGGGATCCAGAAAAGAGTAGACAGTTAACTGACCCTGCTAGAAATGGGGAGTTTCTGTTTAATGGGTACAGAGTTTCAGTTTTACAAGATGAAAAGAGTTCCAGAGGTAGGTGATGGTGATAGTTGTACAACAATGTGAAAGTACTTCAACTGTGCACTTTGAAGTACACATGTGAAAGTTGCTAGAACCAAAATGGAGTCACTTATGTCAAACTCCAACAAAACAGTGTTGGGAGAGGCTGTGGAAAAAAAGAGCCTTCATGCATATATGCCTATATCGGGATATAACCTAAAACATTCCTACGTGTAGACTGGTAACAGAACTTATGACAAGAACTTCCTCAAGATTGCAGTATTCCAGATAAGTTGCTTGCACAAAGAAGGAAGGAAATGCCCTATGAGTTCTAACTCAAAGAAATGGAGATCAATATTACCATGTAGAATACTGTAGCCAATAGCTGGACCCAGTTACCCACAGGTACCATTTTTAGTGAAGGGCTGTCTCTGCCACTGCACTATTGGTCAAATCCTCCAAATAAGTAGTTATGGGCTCCCCCTTCACCATTTTCATGTACCACACAGCCGTAGAAGCACTTTTGAAGTGTCTTCTTACTCATTTCTTTTAGCTATCTCACTTGTTATGAGATCCTTCTATCAACTGCTTCCATGGTATTTCTCTGTCTCTCTGTCTCTCTCTCTCTCTCTCTGTCTCTCTCTCTCTCTCTCTCTCTCTGTCTCTCTCTCTCTCTCTCTCTCTCCAGTCCTGGAGATAGAACCCATGGCTTCACACATGTTAGACAAGCACTCTACATTGGGCTACATCCCTAGACCTTGGTTTTTTGAGATAGGCTCTCACTGTATAGCCCAGGCTGGCCTTGAACTTGCTATCCTTCTAACTCTGCCGTCAGGCATGTGCCACCATGCCTGGTGTCTACATTGTTCTCTCTTGCTATAATTATCTTACTCCTGCTGTTTCCTTCTTCTTCTCTTGGACAACATACTGCTCTAGCTTTTTTTTTTTTTTTTTTGGTGGGACTGGCGTTTGAACTCAGGGCTTTGCACTTGCAAAGCAAGTGCTCTACTCTTTAAGCCACACCTCCAGTCTACTTTGCTCTGGTTATTTTTGAAGATGGGTGTCTTTTGAACTATTTTCCCTGCCGGCCTTGAACTGTGATCCTTCCAATCTCAGCCTCCCAGGCGTGGATTATAGGTGTGAACCACTAGCACCAGGCTTCTGGTCTTACTTTAATAGATGACATTTTTGACAGGAAACTCTTGTATATTTGGATGTTAGCTGTTTTTTTGGGGGGGGTGGGACGGGGTTTGAACTCAGAACTTCACACTTGCAAAGCAGGCACTCTACCAATTGACCTAAACCTCCTGGACTTCTCTGTAGAGTAAACTTTCCCATTACCCTTCAACTTCTATGCCTTACTTAACTGAGCCAAACTAGTTGCTGGTTGGGCTTCTGAATCATTCAATTGAACAAAACTTACAAAGTTCCTCCCAGGAGCAAAATATTTGTATTTGTAACAACAAATACAAATTTGTAAACAAAATAATTAGGGTGAATTTTAAAAAAAGGATTATTAACTGGATGTGCTAACAAAATAGATCCATGGTTTAACTGAGTAACATATAGAGGCCTTCCTCCAAAAAACCATACATGGGCTGGAGGCATGGCTCAAGTGATAGAGCACCTGCCTAACAAGCATGAAGCCCTGAGTTCAAATTCCAGCACTGCCAAAAAGACAAAACAAAACAACCATACGTGCCTCACCTTGATAGAGCTCTACTTGTAGATGGAGATTGGGGTTCCAATTATTTAGACACATAGATAAATAATTAGTGGAAGCCAGTGTGAATTAGGATAAATAAGTGTATTTATTTATTTTTGTTTTGATTATGACGGTACTGGTATTTGAACTCCAAGCCTCACACTTAATTAGGCAGGCAGGAAGGCACTTTACTACTTGATACACACCCCCAGTCCTTGTTTATATTTTTGAGACAAGATCTTGCTATGTTGCCCAGACTGGCCTTAAACTCATGATTGTCCTTCCTCAGCCTCACAAGTGCTGGGATTACAGGTAAGCACCACCATATGCAATTTGGATTATGATATTTGACCTCCTTATAGATCTCAAACTGATCACCGGTATAGTCACTGGGCTGGCCCCCTCTCTCTACATCAGAAAGTCAAATGTAAGCTACCTGGGGGTGTGGAACCCCAGATTTGCTTCTTTCATCAGAGTCCTTACAACAGAATATAGCATACATGTAATGAAGAAATGATAAGGAATCCATTCAACTCTTTAGGTAGTCTCATAAACTCTGCTGCAAAGACTTACCACTGCACAACAATATACATCTTCCCTCACCAGGGTAGTCTTAGATAAGATTGCCCTTAATTATCTATTAATAGGGTAGTATCTGCACCAAACTGACACTACATGCTGAACCTGGGTAACTTTCTGGGGAAGATATACTCAATTACATACGATAAGAGGTCTCTACAGACCTAGCTCCATATGAATCATTTGATTCACAATCTGAGCTCTCCATCCCTGTTTACAGTTTACAACCAAGTGCCTAGGCATGGCACTTAAGCCCCTGCATGGCTGGGTCCTGACCAGGACAGATGCTGTTTGGGTTTTGTCCTCCTGGCCAGTTCCCCAATACAGATGCACGACAGGTGATAACAGTACTTCGTGTGAACAGGGCCTGTCCTCAGATGCTGGCTTGGCAACTGATCAATTACTATAGCTGCAGCCAACACATGACATACCTGCTGACCCTGTGCTGTCTGACAAATCATTCTCCACCTATCAGACAACTATAGGGTATTTGTGAATTTCACTTTTGACAATCATCAGGGGAAGCTGACACTCAAGTCCTGAAATAAGAGACCAAGAACAGGGCCAGAACAGAGGAAGGTCAAATAAATGACACACAGAAGGCAAGGCTCAAATTAGGCCAGGTTTATTACCCAAATTAAAATGAAGTGCGGTGATTAAGGTCTGGGTGTGTGGGATTGTCATAGCATTCAGGCAACTGTGGAAGAGGGATGGGCATAGAGTTCTGGCCTGGGAAGCTAAGGTGAAGCAGGACTAGAGCACTCCTGTTCTCTTTTTTATTCTTTTATTTTCATTTTTTTTGGTGGTACCAGGGTTTGGACTCAGGGCCTCACACTTGCTAGGTAGGCACTCTACCACTAACTAGAGTTACTCTGCCAATCCTATTTTCCTTTTTATAAAGTTCCATAACTTTTTGATAATTTTAGAGGAAAATCTGATTATTTTCTTTCCAGGTCTTTGTAGTGGGCACAATGGTCTTTTGTAACTGTTGGTATCTTAATCAGATGTGGGACTGTTCATTTTTTAAAGTCTCTGCCTTATTCTGTCTCAAGGGTTTTGTTATATAAAAAGAAACATTAGAGAACAAAAGTCAAAAGACCTCTTTGTTGTCCTTACTTCTTCCTCATGGGCCACTTCCTCAATCTGGTGCAAGCCATTACAGTTTCTGACTCTGTACATTACTCATGTGTAATTGTAAGCAAAATAAGGTTTTATACTGAGTGCTTAAATTTTTACCATTCTGCAACTTGACTTTTTTCTCTTAGCATTGTTTTAGATTTCCCCATGTTTCTGTGGGTAGACCTAATTACTCATTTTAAATTCCCCTATGATCTTCCACAATACGAATAAACCAGAATTTATTTATTGTCTTATTACTATATGGGCATGGGAATATACTCATTCTAAGAAATATGTCAGTAGGTAATTTCATTGTGGGAATATCCTAGAGTGTGCTTATATAAACCTAGTGGGCTGTGCCAATCACTTGATATGGTCTCTTGATGCAAAATCAAGAGATATGAGATGCATGAGACTGCTACCAGTGAAACAGAACATACTGCTTTACAGTAAACTTTCTTAGTAGTAAGACACTCTAAAATGACAACAGTTAGTACTCAAACTAGTGACACAGTCATTTATTATCATATTGAGTATTATGTACTGTACTATACTTTTTTTGCCACTGGGCATGCAGTGGGTTTGTTTGTACCAGTAGCAACATAAGCAAGTGAAAAATGTGTTGTGCTATGATGTCACTAGGTTGTAAGAACTTTTTGGCTCTCTTATAATCTTATGGGACCAGAGTGTATATATATTCTGTCACTGACAGAATGTTATATAATAAAAATGTTGTATGGCAAATGACTATATTTTAAATTTGAAGAGGGACAAAACCTCTTCAAATTTTTATAACCCAGTAGATTTTGGACCCTCCAAGTCAAAACCAAAGAGAAATGTAGACAGTCTTTTGCAGGGGTGAGGCAGACAAGTAAGTGAGGGATTTGAAGACAGTTTCACAGTGGCCCCTTGTTGGAGCAGCTTCTCCCAAGCATCAGCCTTGGATACTGAGCAGGAGTACCAGTAGAAATACTGGCTCCATGTGGCTAGCACTCCTTAAGTTAAAAAAAAAAAAGCTGGAAATCTATACTTAAATATGAAATGCCCAAATTGATAAAATACCAGAAATTAATCCATATTTTAAAACTCTGTCATCAGATGAATATCAGTAGCACATTACTGGCTTTAGGCCATCTGTGTGCTGTTTCTAATCCCATCTACTTCGCTGGGAGGAGACTGAAGCCCAGAGTCAGGGGTCCAGTGCAATCCTAGTTCTGTTTACTCTTTCCTCTACTCCAGGCTCCCAAGCAAGACACCTGCCTGAACATTCACCCCTCCTTTGATACCCACCCACTGTGTCTGCCAAGCCTGAGAGAGTTGATGGCCTCCCCATCCACTACCCTCCTCTTGGTCCAGTGGCTCTTCTCGTTAGTCCCTGGAAACTCTCTGGGTCAGGAGGCATTCGTCCTATGCTTGGCTTAGCTTTTTTCTTGACTGTGGTATTCTGGCAATTAACTGTCCCTCTCTAGGCCTCATTTTTCCTTTTACAAGATGAGACATGTACTATTATTATTCCTATATTATAGATGAAGAAATTGAGACTCAGAGAGTTTGAATATTTTGTTCAAGGTTACACAGCTTATAGGGGAGAGTATCAGCCTTAAAAGCCCATTTTCCTAACTACTTATAGTGTAAGAGATTCTGACTTTTTTCTTCAGGGGAAAGAGGCTATAAAATAGATACAGTCATGCACCACAACAATGTTTCAGTCAACAATGGACCACATATATGGTGATGGAATAATAGAGCTAAAAATTTCCTGTCACTTGTAACATTGTAGCCATCATAATATTCGTAGCACAATGGATTCATCATGTTTGCTGCTGCAAACAAATTTACCTTGCTGATGATAGTCAAACGTAGAGCACGTGTAATTATGTATATGATAATATGGTAATTATGTATATGATATTATGTATTGATATGATAATAAACAACTATGTTTTTGGTTTACTATACTATAGTAGTTACTACACTGTAGTGTGCTTTTACTTTTAGACTGGACTCTCACATATAAAAAAGTTTACTGTAAGCTGGTCTCTGGTGCCTCATGCCTGTAATCCTAGCTACTCAGGAGGCAGAGATCAGGAGGATTGCGGTTTGAAGCCAGCCCGGAGAAATAGTTCAAAAGACCCCATCTCAAAAAAAAAGAAAAAGACCACAAAACAGGGCTGATGGCTCAACGTGTAGGCCCTGAGTTCAACCCCAGTACTGCAAAAAAAAAAAAAAAAGTTTGTCATATTATCCCAGCAGCAGCTTTATATGTGTCAGGTTTACCATGTCTTCCCAATTGTATTGAGAGGTTACTTTGAGTGATTGTCCTAAGTGCCATCTCTGTCTTGTTTGTGCAAAGATGAAATTATCTTATTCCTGTCATTAAGTGACACATGAGTATAGTTCCTAAATTAATTTCATCTCCCCAAGATGTTAGGCCTATTTTTCAAGTCCCCATTTGAGTCCTTCTCAAAGAGGTTTGAGTCATTCTGTGATTCTCTAGCCAATCAGAGATCATGGAAGCAAGAATAGTTCTGGAAAAAGCTGTTCTTGTCAATTCCCCTGCAGGCCCAGCCAGGCCATGGAAGAAAGGTGCATAGAACCAAAAGGCAACTACAAGGTTAGGGGACTTGCCTTCCTGCCCCAAAGGGCTGAGCTGACTCCTAATTCTCTATTTTGCCTATCTACCTACCAGGTAATGTTCCCTGTTTTCCTGAGGGAGCAAGTATCTCCTAAGTTACTGGCAACCACGCTTGCAGAGTTGGATGAGCTCTTACAGTTGTTTGAGGACAAATTCCTCCAGAACAAGGCTTTCCTTGTCGGGTCCCACATTTCCCTAGCTGATCTGGTGGCCATCACGGAACTTATGCATGTGAGTACTGTGGACAAGGAGGACACACTAGATAGAGGGTGCCCCAGCCAAGTACTAAAGTCCTGTTTTTGCTGCCCTCACCAAACTGCAGGTCTGTGCTTATGTATGGAAAACCCTCTGGATCTCTGGGGTTCCCAAACCAGGCAGATGAGGCCTGTCCTTGTCTTTACTCATCTGCCCCTATTCTGTCTCCTTCTTGCTACAGCCCGTGGGTGCTGGCTGCCAAGTTTTCGAAGGCCGTCCCAAGCTGGCTGCATGGCGCCAGAGAGTGGAGGCAGCAGTGGGGGAGGACCTCTTCTGGGAGGCCCATGAGGTCATCATGAAGGCCAAGGACTTTCCCCCTGCTGACCCCACCATAAAGCAGAAGATAATGCCGGGAGTGCTGGCCATGATCCGGTGAGATCAGAAGCCTCATCTCTGTGTGTGTGTTTACAAAATACCTTCATTTTCAATGTCCCATGAGGCCCAGAGAACAGGAGTGCTGTAGTCCCACTTCCCAGGCCAGAACTCTATCCCCATCCTCTATTCCACAGTTGCCTGAATGCTATGATAACCACACAGACACACAGAGACCTTTAATCACTGCACTTCATTTTAAGTTTGGGTAATAAACCTGGCCTAATTTGAGCCTTGCCTTCTGTGTGTCATTTATTTGACCTTCCTCTGTCTGGCCCTGATCTTGGCCTCTTATTTCAGGACTTGAGTGTCAGCTTCCCCTGATGATTGTCAAAAGTGAAATTCACAAATACCCTATAGTTGTCTGATAGGTGGAGAATGATTTGTCAGACAGCACAGGGGTCAGCAAGTATGTCATGTGTTGGCTGCAGCCATGGTAATTGATCAGTTGACCAAGCCAGCATCTGAGGACATGCCCTCAGATCACCTGTTATCACCTGTCGTGCATCTGTATTGGGGTACTGGCCAGGAGGACAAAACCCAAACGGCATCTGTCCTGGTCAGGATCCAGCCATGCAGGGGCTTAAATGCTATCCCTAGACGCTTGGTTGTAAACTGTAAACAGGGATGGAGGGCTCAGATTGTGAATCACAATAATATTCTGGCTGCTGGTGGAGGGTGGATTGGAAGGGAGCCAGGGAGGTAGTAGGGAGATTGGATGTTGCAGTAACTGGGGACAGAGGTGACTTGTGGCAAGCACTGAGGGGCTGAAGAAGTAAAGAATGTGTCTGCTCTCATTCTGCAGCACTATACCAAGAAGGCAGCTTCTTGGGGGCTTCCTTAAAGGGGAACATTTGAGACCAGAAAGTCAAATCTACCCTCAAGTTTCCGAATAACCTATTTTCTTGCCAAGGGGCATTCTCTCAATCTTGTGTTTGGGGAGAGGGTCCTTTCACCCTGGGAAGCTCTTTTGAGAAATGGGGATGTCATAGCCACCGGCCTCTGGAGCCCCAGAACTGAAGTAGGAGGAACTTGGCTCTGCAAAAGGGTGGAGAAGTTCTATCCGATCCCAAGCAGACAGCGTATAATGAATGTGACCCAAGAGATTAGGGAGAGAGAGCTCATTCCATCACAGGGTGTGGGCTCTCTTTCCTTTGTGGGTTGCAGGCCTGGCCTGTGCAGAGAGCAGGGAGCCAATATCCTCCCTAGCTTCCATCCTGGGCGCTGGTGGGGACAGGAAGGAGGTGTACTCCCGTTCTGTTCTAAAGGACTTGGAAACCACTCCTCTTTCAGTCCTCTGCTAAAGGAAGGGAGAAAGAGAGGGAAGAGGAGAGAAGGAGGGGGAGGGAAAGAAAGGGGAAGGTGTGAAGGGAGCTGTTGCCCTCAGACAACACAGATCTTACCACCCTAAATTCACTGAGGGTCTCTGCTAGAAAGCCCCCTGGACGTCCCGCTTCCCATTACCACTCCCCCTGACCCACTTGATTAAGGTGGAAACTGAGGTCCTGGGAAGGGGTCCTGCTGGCAGTGATATCCCAGATCAGAGCACAGACCTGCTGCTGCGCTCCGCCTCATCACGTGGGAGAAGAGCTTTGCAGAGCGGATTCTCAGGGGCGTCGCTGATTGGTCCAAAGTTCTCCGAAGCCATCCAATGGGCGGGGAGGGCGTAACGGAGCTCGGGTCCCTGGTCTGCACAGCTGTGGTTCAAGTACCAGCAGTTCCTGCCTGCTTTTCCTGTTTTGGGAGCTTGTCACCCAGGCCCGCCTGTTAGGTCTGCCAGCTGCCACCACCGCCATGGGCCTGGAACTCTATCTGGACTATTGTCCCAGCCCTGCCGCGCTGTCTACATCTTTGCCAAGAAGAACAGCATCCCGTTCCAGCTGCGCACGGTGGAGCTGCTCAAAGGTGAGCCCCAAGAGCGGGCTGGGGAGCCTAGGCCTGGGGTGTGCGGGTGGATTTCGCCATCGACGACCTCTCGGGGACAAGACTGGTGTTGCAGCCAGGCGAGAAACGTCAGCCTTTCCAGTAGGAAGCCGTTTCATCAGTTATCAGTTGTGTATGTTTAAAGAACCTTAATATTCGCCTGGTGAATACAAGACCTTCTTCCACACACAGAATAAAAGGGAGCAGAAAAAACTCCCAGAGGGAGGAGAAGGAAGTGCAGCAAAGGGTAGATCTCAACCTCCAAGGTTGAAAAAGCAGTTGAACTGCCTTCTCGTTCCCTAATTGGTGTTCTTCCATCTCTTGCGTTTCTGCATCCTCAGGCAGGAGAGGGTTGTTTTACTCTCCCCACCCACCCAATTCAGGAGTCTCCACTTTCTCCTGCCTACCCCTGCCTACGACCCTTTCACTTTTACATCTCCCTTGCTTTTTTCTACTTTTGCTTTTTCCTGTTTCTGACTTGCTCTTGCCCCACTCATCTGGAGGGCTCTGTGCAAAGGCAGTATGGGGAGGCCAGAACCCTCACTTGAGCTGTAGTGTTACTGATCTGGTTGGCCTGGAAAAACATCTGGAGTAGAATCCAGTGAAGGTGTCAGGACCATAACTGGACAGAAGGGTAAGCATGGGACCTAGAGCTCCCTAGGCAGGTCAGAGGAAGTCCCCTGTTCAGTTGGGCCCTCCCACTGGTTGCCTTTAGTATCCCCAGCTTGGAAAACCTGCTGCAGGACAGGGGCTAGCCCTAGGCAATTTGTGGAGGGAGAATGGGCAGAGGGCTGATAGTGTCCACTTAGTACAAAGAAAAAGAGGCCCCCAGATAGGCCTATAGTCAAGCTGGAGCCTGGCTCAAGTCTGACTTGATACACATTAACTAGGCACCTAGTGTACCCTCCAGAACTGGCCTGGGCTTCAGGGTAGGGTATGTGGAAGTGAGTCAGACCTGGGAAGCCCCATTGAGATGGGAGCTTTAAGGAGTTGGCACAGGAAAGGAAGAACCCCTGGGCTGCTGGAGGCTGGGGTAATGAGACAAGGTGTTCCTGGCAAGAACCAGATTGGACTGAAAGCTGAGAATAGGGGTGGCTGGAGGTCTTGGGTGTCCACAGTCATCCAACAGTCAGAAGGGCTTAAATCCTTTCCTCTTCTTGCCCCAGATAGGAATATGGATCAGAGGGGCAAGACTAGAGCCCAAGAAGGAGACTAGAGTGTCTGACACATTGATGGAGCTGGCTGGGAGTAGCAGGTGGATTACAACTCCACAGAGTCACCCTTTCCCCCAGACCCAAATTTTGATTCTGCTTGGTCTAGGATCCAACAGAGTGAGCATAGGGAAGGCAGACATCTGATGGGGTCAGCTTCTATGATACACATTGGCCCTCTTCCTCACGCTGCCTGCAGAAAACTGGTGACTCAGTTTAGGGGAGGGACAGACAGATATTCAGAGGTCTCAGGGTTCTCCTTACTCCTCACTGGTCTTTCCCACAGGCCAACACTATACTGATTCGTTTGCTGAGGTGAACCCCCTGAGGAAGGTGCCAGCCTTGAAGGATGGGGACTTCACTTTAGCTGAGAGGTAATGGATCTCTGATCTGCAGCTAAGCCTTGTGGGTGCAGTCACCTGTCTGAATTCACTATTGAAGATTGGAGCCAATACTTCTGCATCCCAAGTACCTGTGCCAGCCCCAGAGTGAAGAGTGGGCTGAAGCTGGCAGGGTATACAAGGCTGTGAAGGGCTGTTGAAAGTCATGGCATCTCCATTGCCATACTAATTTGTACAGATGAGGAAACTGAGGCTGGGAGAGAGGAGGTACTTGTACAAGTTGGAGGGCCTAGCCTGGTTCCAGGTCCTTTCCCTGCCAGCCCAGATCTCAGAAGGAAGGGGAATGAAAGTATGAAACAGTGGCTATACCAGGACCCATTCAGCACTCCCTTTGCCCACAAATCCTGGGGAAAATGTTGTTTCCCCAGGGAGGTGAAGGAAAACCCAGTGAACTTAGTGGCTATCTGCTGAGCATCCTTCAGCACCAGCCCCCATCCAGTCCCTGGGGCTCAAGCAGAGAATATGTGTAAGCCTTCATGGAGCTCACATTGTAGAGAGAGAGGAGCCAACAATAACTCATACAAACAGGTAGCAAGTCAGGTGTGTGATTGCTATGGAGAAAATAGGTGTAGCAGGGGTGGTTTTGAGTGGGAGGCAAAGGGAAGGCCCACTGATAAGGGGCAACTGAGCAGGGATTTACAGGACTGAGGTGCTGAAGTGCTGTTGTGGTGTGTGAGAAGCATGTTCTGACTGGAAGGGAAAATGAGGGGGAAAGCCGTAAGATGGGACCATGTTGGGATATTGGCTGAAGAGTAAAGGGGCCAGTGTTATTGGCCCCTACTGGGGAACAGAGCAGGAGGGGAGAGCAGAGGGGAACATGTAGTTTTTCTGGTGAATGGATGGAGCCATTGGAAGGTTTGAGCAGAGGAGAGTGGTAATCCCCCTTGTGTTTGAAAGGATCCCTTGTCTGGGTTGAGAAGGCTACCTGGAAATCCAGGCCAAGATGGTGGTGGTGCGGGGTGGGGAATGATTGGCTCTAAGTGATATTCAAGGTCAAACCACAGAATTCACAAAAGAATTGGTGATGGGGGAGTTGGGAGCCAAGGCTGGCCTCCAGATTGGAAGATAAAGGATGGTGCTTTGCTTTACCAAAACCACAGAATGCCTCTGTGGCAGAGCCAGATTCACACTCAGAGCCACGTGGCTGCAGAGTCTGTAGCTTAAGCACAGTCCAACAACCAGGGAGACATAAAGAGCTGTGGGTCAGCCTTCCCTGAACTCCTAGCTCCTCCTGAAATCCATGAGATTTAGTTTCTCCTTTTGACACTCTTAGTTCAGAGGTAGAGCTGTGTGACTCTTGCTGTCATCTAACCTCTCTGAGCTTCACATTCCTCCTCTGTACCATGTGAATAGTGAAAATATCCCATGAAATGGCTGAAGAGTGACTGGGGCCTGTCCTCCACCCCGACCACTTTTCCTCAGTGTGGCCATCCTGCTGTATCTGAGCCGCAAGTACAAGACTCCTGACCACTGGTACCCCCAGGACCTGCAGGCCCAAGCCCGAGTGGATGAGTACCTGTCCTGGCAGCACACAGCCTTGAGGAGTTGCTGTACCAGGGCCATATGGCAGAAGGTGAGCCACAGGAAGCAGGGATACCTCCCAGGATGCTCAAGGGATGGTGCTTTTCTGTTGAAAGGGTTCCTTTCAGATCTGGGACCTTAGAACACCAAATTTTGGAATGCCAGAGACTACCAATTGTGATACTTAGGATCAAGCACTTTAATGACATCCCAGGGAATTCATAAAAATGTGCTATCTGGGAAGATGCATGTGTAGTGCTAGGTGGGTAGGGAGTGAGGCAGGGTAGCTGCTGCACTGAGGAGGGTTTTGTGTTCTGGTTTTAGTCCTAAGGGCAGTGGAAAATTTTGTGCAGGAAAGGGCACAAAAACCTGAAGGTGATGCATAGAATGGGAGTGGGATAAAGAATGGGCATTGGACGGAGCTTGACCCTCTCTCTACTTGCTGGCCTTCAGATGATGTTCCCTGTGTTCCTGGGCCAGCCGGTACCCCCTGAGACACTGGCAAACACTTTGGCTGAACTAGACAGGTGTCTGCAGCTACTAGAGGACAAGTTCCTGAGAGACCAAGCCTTCCTTACTGGGCCCCAAATCTCTGTGGCTGACTTGGTAGCCATCACAGAATTGATGCATGTGAGTGCCATGAAGTAAGGTGGTCCACTGAATTAGTGGGGAGGCTTTGGAGGGAGCTGATGTCCTTGCTCATGTTGACCTTTCTGGCTATAGGACCCTGGGTGAGTCACTTCACCTTCTGAGCCTGTCTCCTCATCTGTAAAACGAATCTTCATAAGCCCTCACTGCAAGGATGCTGAGAGGTCCCCTGGGAAGGGGACCTCCCCGCCAGACCATCACACATGTGGTGGAGGAGGGAAAATCCATTTGAGGAATCCTAAGGCAGGTCATGCTGCCTTGTGTTTAGTTATACCTAGCATATCAACCTCTTTTTCCATAGCCTGTTAGTGCTGGCTGCCAAGTCTTCGAAAGCCGACCAAAGCTGGCTGCGTGGCGCCAGCGTGTGGAGGCTGCAGTTGGGGAGGAGCTCTTCCAGGAGGCCCATGCAGTTGTCCTGAAGGCCAAGGATATGCCTCCATTGGACCCTATCTTGAAGGAGAAATTGAAGCATTCCGTCCAGGGTTTGTTGCACTGAGTGGGTCGCCTAGGCCTGAGGAGCCACCAAGGAAAACAGTGACTTGTCAGAATACAGATGGGGCTTCTCTCTCTGGTTATACAGTGTCCACAAAGTCTGTGGTTCACAGTTTCATCATGCCAGCAACAAGTTATGTTCCTACCCAATTTTTACTCAAATATTTGGTCTGCATCTGACCTTTGGAGAGAGTTTTGGTAAATATTTGACCCTGTTCCTCTCTTTTGAAATCCTGTGTTTCCTCACTTCCCTGAAGCTAAAGAATGTCATTGAACTTGGCAGTGAAGACCTTGCCCCACTCCTCCAAATTGTCCCTCTGACTTTATTCATTTCAGAACTCTCTCTTTCTCCTACTTTGGCTTTCTAGCCTTGGCTCTTGCTGTTCTTACCACACTTTCTTTGTCTGATGCCTCTCTTTTAGCACTTGGCCCCATGTTACTTCCCCAGAGAGAATTCTCAGATCACCTCAGTCCCAGGCCAGGATTGGTGACTACTCTGGGTTCCTCAGCCCCAGTGTTTTCCTCCTTCAGCTCTCACAGGGAACAGACTCCCTGGGCTGAGTACATGTCACAGATCAGGGTTGGCTGGGTAAAGAGTATCTGATTAGGAATGTCCTCCATGCCCTAGGTCTCTCTCCTCTCTCTGGGAGTGATGTCTCCCACAGGTGGAATGTAAGGGCTAGATTCCTTGCAGGGAGGGAAGTCCCTGGCTTTTTCCTGACATTCCAAGTGCTGCTGAGTAGACTTGCTGCCCTAAGCCTGATCCTAACTCTGACTACTGTTTCTCCCCACCCAACTGTGAGTTCCAAACTTACCACTTCATGACTGTCACATTTACCCATCTCGTATCATAGGCCTTCTGTCATATGAATTATCTAATAAATAAGCTGCTAACCAGACAAAGAAGGTGATGTCAGAATCTCAGCCTATTTGCCTTCCCACGGAGACTCCTTTAATATGCACACTTGTATAGAATTTCCTCTGTGCAACTGGATAGACTTGTTTTAAATGATCCTGCTACCTCCTAGTGGACAGTAACTCACAAGAGGCTACAGAGGCTGGTGCCTCAGGGATCAGGTGGCGATGCCCTTGTCCTAGGGGCATTCCAAATCCCATGTGTGCCAACCGGGGAAACCTGTAACCCTGTGTTACAGGTCTCCAGATTGTTCAAAAGAAGTCCAGATTTGAGTCTGGGGATGTAGCTCAGTGATAGAGTGCTTGTCTAGCATGCCCAATGCCCTGGGCTGTATCTCCAACAACACAAGAACACTAAAAGACAAAACAACAAAAGGCCAACCGTTCAAGCACTCTAGGTAAAGCTAGGGGCTGGGAGAGTAGCTGAAGTGGTAGAGCATTTATTTGCCTAGCAAGCCTGAGGCCCATACCAGTATCACCACCACCACCACCAAAAAAGGGAAAGTTTGCCGGCCTGGGCTACTTAGCGAGTTCAAGCATACATTGGGAGACCAGTTCAGAAAAACAAATATGAGAGAGACTGGGAGAGAGGGAGGGGGGAAAGGAAGAGAGAGATTACCATATTGAAGTTGCTGAACTTTGAAATGATAGCAAAGCGTTCAAAACCATTTTAAACCCCTGCGCGATGGGAAGGCTCCTACCGATGAGTATGTATGGGGAGAAGGGTGTTTAGACCTTTATATCAATAACGATTTAGGAGCTGGTGGGTTCAAAGCCTGAAAGTCTGAGAAGGAAACACTGCCCTGGGGCTGGAGCTGGGTGCCTGGGGCCCGGATCTGCCATCGCGTCCTGATGGGGGTAGGGTCACTCCTAACCGGCTAGGAGGTAGGACTTCCGGAGACTTGGAGCCAGCCCACGTGACTGACAGGCTGGGGTGTAGCCCTGGCAGCCAATCGGGAGTTGCCGATTCAGCCGAGCCAATGAGGAGCCTGGCTGCTGTGACGCCCCGCCCCTGAGCCTGTTCTGCCACCCTGGAGATCCCGAATCCAACTCGGCCCCAGTTCTCCGCTGCCTCTGCTCTTCTGTTCATCATGCCATTCATTGAGCTGGACACTAATTTGCCTGGCAACCGTGTGCCCGAGGGACTAGAGAAGCGACTCTGCTCGGCCACCGCCGCCATCCTGAACAAACCTGAGGAGGTGAGTGAGGATCGGGTGCCCTGGGCGCTGAGAGGTTGGGGGGCTGGGAGTTGGGCTCTGTCCACTCTCTGCCTCCCCACAATCACCCGGACTCTTCTCCCTAGGGACCCGCTGGTCTGCTAACCTCTGACCTTCTGTGCCCCATGAACCCATGGCCCTCTCTCCCCACGAGTGCCCTTCGTCGCTTTTCCCACCATGACCCCGGTGTGACCTCCAAGCACCTTGGCGGGTGCCCTGAGCCATGACCCCTCGGGCCACGCGCGTGCGGTCTCTCACACGTCCCGGTGCTCAACGCCAATACTGCGGGCGCCAGCTTCAGGCGAAACTTTTGTGTCCATCGCAGCGCATAAATATTACCGTGAGGCCTGGCCTGACCATGACCCTGGGCGGATCCACGGAACCTTGTGCCCAGCTGGTTGTCTCCTCCATCGGCGTGGTGGGGACCGCTGAGGAGAACCGTGGCCACAGTGCCCGCTTCTTCGAGTTCCTCACTAAGGAGCTGGCCCTAGGCCAGGACCGGTATGTAATAAGAGGACCTATTTGGGACTGCTGCTGCAACCAGAGGCAGTGATTCTGCCTCAGGGCATCTGAAGTTGGGGGACGGGGGGAATAAACCCTCTGCACTGTCCAGGAAGGGCACATGGGGGCCTTAGTGCAGGAAGGCCCACACACTCCTTTGCCACGCTGATGGTGGGTCTGCGGTCAGAATGGCTGTAAGATTGTTGAATTCCTGGCTCTACAGCCAACTGTCTGAGACCTGGTCAAGGCATGGTTTCTGGGACTTCAGTGTTTCCATCAGCACACTGGGAAGAGCCTTTTTTTTTTTAAAGCATCCTTTAAGGCCATTGCAGGAGTCTTAGGGATGGCCTGTGCACCACATCTGCACCTTCAGAGTTTTATTACCCTGAAGAATCCAGAGAATCTTATTTTCAAGGAGAACTTTTCCAGTCTGGGTAGGATATCTGGCTATGTTGTGAAACTGAAACCTTTGGACTAGGTGAGACTGGGGGGAGGGGATCACAGGGTAGTGAATGGAGCATTGGCCTGGATTCTGGGCGTCTAGCTAAGAGACCCCAAATAATCTCAAAGTGAAACACCTCCGATTTGCAGCCTCATCTGTGAATGGGGGCTGTTTCAGGCTAAATGACCTCTCTCACCCACAAGATAGCTTTACCTCCTTCTCCCCTCCTCAAAACCTGGCATCCTGTGGCAGGGTTAAAGCTTCCTCCTGGAGGAAAGATAGTCTCAAACCTAGTCTATGCCCATGAAAGAAAAAAGCAGGAGAAGAGCGAAGGAACCTTCCAGAATGGAGTCCTGATTGGCCCAGGAAGGCTGTTGAGGAGTGGCTGCTCCTGGTGGGTGTTCAGATCCTCAAACTGGGAAGAGATAATAATTCTAACAATAAATTATATACCAATGCTTACCATGAGCAACACACTCAACAACCATAATAACATTTGATCCAAAACTGCATCCCTGGTCCCCTTGGTGTAGATTTGCCATTTCCATGAGGTAGAGATGTCTGCATTACATGAACCTTGCAGATGATAAAACTTGAGACCATGATCCCTGCCAGTCCTGCAGCCCCTGCCAAACTATCCCAGTCCCTGGTGCTCTTTATCAGGAACTTCTCATCTCTGGAAGAGGAGCCTTTATTCTTTCACAGACTTTAGTCATGGTCAGCCTATGCCTAGTCTTAAACCAGACTTTGAGAAAATTTAAGTGACTGGTGCCCGCAGTTAGGAGGGAAGGACTGTCCCTCTGAGCCCACAACTGACAGAAGCTATTGAGTATACAGCATACGCAGTCAGTCCTGGATGTCTGTCCTGGATGGACCGTGCCCATGTGCATCTGTCACCTTGCACCTGATCATTTCTCTGTCTGGGTCAATGGAAAATCATTAATGCCTTATGGGCCAACGTGGGCTGGCCTGAGAGCCCACAGTGGGAGTGCCTAGCAGGGGCCTTGCATCACGAGGAGATAGCCAAGTTACTGACATCTTTTTCTCTGTTTCTTAAAGGATAGTTATCCGCTTTTACCCATTGGAGCCCTGGCAGATTGGAAAGAAAGGGACGGTCATGACATTTTTGTGATTGGCACAGAGTATCATGGGCATCTGTGAGCTGACTCTCCATTCCAGAGATGCCTCCTGGCAGAGTGAAGGCCTGATGAAAATCACATTTGGGTATCCCTTTTGCAGATATGTCTGTGATTCACCTAACATTTTTTTCCTCTTCTCTAACTTCAATGCTAAATAAATAAAGAGAACCTCATTATGCAAACATAACTTATTTACCTCTAAACTCTCTCTCCAGCAGCCTGGAACATATGGGCAGTTGGCTTGGTTTATGAAGAATATTGAACTGGGATGTTTCCTGTTGTCACATTTGCTGCTCCATATGTTTATAGCAATGAAATCAGGTGAAAGGCTCAGCCTGGAGGGTTGCAACACAATGGAAATGTGTGGGAGCACCTGGTCTGCCCTGGAACTTCCTGCATACTCTGGTGATGGCCTGAGATTTCTAATCTCAACTTAGTGTGGCCTAGACCGTCACTTTCTGTTGATTGCTATGCTGGCCTGGCACACAGGGCTGCTTGCATTTCAGGGATCTTCCCTGGACTCACTTTACATGCTGACTCTTGTTGACAAATGACTGGAGCAGGGAGCTGTGCATTATGCAAAATGCATGCCAGTCATGGGAAAGTAAAGTGCCAGCAAGCCAAGCATGGAAATGCAATGTCATTATAAACAATGAATGTTGTCCCTGTTCTCCAACTGAAATAACATACTATGCGTTTGCATTTCCGAGTATTTCCAGGTAGGGTAGGGAGATCCCAAAGGAAGAATCCATCTAGGTAATTTTCCAGATGTTTGCGCACAGTTAAACTCAGCTCATGACCCTTAGACACTGGTGAAAGGTGTCTCCCTGCCAGTTAGATATCTGATGATCCGTGTCTTTAGTGTACTAGTGAAATGTCAAATTGAGATTTTTGTTCTATTAGTCTACATGGTTAATAAAGTTAGTTTCCAAATAAATATGCCTGTCTTCTGTGTTTGTGCCTGAGCACTGCTTAGGCCTCCTATTAAAAGTTGGCCTTGGTGCTTAGGGTGTTGCTCAAGTGGTACAGTGTTGCCCTAGCAAGTGCAAAGCCCTGAATTCAGTAATGAAATAAAATTTGATCCAGGTGCCAGAGGCTCTAAGACTCATACCTGTAATCCTAGCCACTCAGGAGAATCACAATAAAATGCCAGCCCCGGCAAAAAGTTCTCAAGACCCCACCTCAACCAACAGCTAGCTATGCTGGCACATACCTGTCATCCCAGTATAAATAGAAGGATCTCTGTCCAGGCTGACCAGGGCAAAAAGTGAGACCCTATCTCCAAAATAACCAGAGCAAAAAGGGCTGGAAGTGTGGCTCGAGGTAGAGCACTAGTAAGTGTGAATTCCCTGTACCGCCACAAATAAATAAATGAAATGAAAGGTTGGCCTTGTAGTTTCTTTCTGTGGCTTGCTGTCCAAATTGTTTCTGTACTTATTCCTTCTGCCAAGGTGTTCCACAGGTTAGAGCTCTGAGGTATGGCCAAAAGGGACTAACTCCTCCAACCCCCTGATATGAAATGAATCAAAGGAGCAAAACTAAAAGCCCAGGGAGTTTCTGACACTTGGGTAAACCTGGCTAGGGGTGCCAGGGAATTAAGATCCTCAGAATCACCCTCTCCCCCAGAACCAAGTTTTGATTTTGCTGGACCCTGGCTCCCCCAGGGTGGGCACAGGGAAGGGGGACCTCTGATGAAGTAAGCATTTATGATCTGCATAGCACCACGTATCCTGTAAGTCCTGGGAGGAAATGCTGTTTCTCCAAGGAGTTGAAGGAATACCCATGGGTGCAGAGCAATCATCAACACCAGTCTGATGAGGATCCAGTCCCTGAGGGTTAAGCCCACGTGGAGGTCACATCACAGAGAGAGAGGGTGACAGTGACCCATACGAATAGGTAGCAAGTAAGGTGGTGATTGCTGTGAAGAAGACAACTTTTGTTCAGAGACGACTTTGAGTAGGACACAGAGGGTAGGTCCCCTGAGAAGCTGACTTGTAAGTAGGGACCTGTAGGACTGAAGTACTAGGGATTAGAGAAGCATATTCTGGGTGGAAAGCCATGAGATGAGGCCATGCTTTAGGGGGATGGTCTGACTAGGCTGAGCAAGAAGAAAAGTGGGAGGGGAGCACATGACACAAGAATGACTTTGGATTTTCCTGTGCATGGATAGGGTTTTTGAGTAAAGGAGAGTTGTGAAGCACTTGTGTTTTAATGAATCCCATTGGCTGAGGTAAGGAGGCTACTGTGATAATCCAGTTAAAGGTGCCTGGACCCTGACAAGCTGGTGGGGGTTGTGCAGGGTGGGGATGATAGGTTCTGAGTGCTATTGAATATAGAACTACAGGGATTGCAGTTGGCCATGGGGGAGGAGGGAAACGGTAGCCAAGATAGACCTCCAGGTTGGTGGCTGAATGGAGGTGCTATCCTTTACAGAGTGCCTCTGTGTTAAAGCTACTCAGACCACTGTGGTTGTAGAGCTTATGCTCTATGCATAGCTAACACCCAGGCAGACATGAGGAACTCTGCAGTCAGCCTGCACAGACCAGATGTGATGGGAGATAGGAGATCAGAGATGGATTCCTCCAGGGGGCTGGTGGGTGTACTGAAAACTTTGAGCAGGTGGAAAGGAGATAGATGGGACCTCAGAATACCAAATCCTAGAATTCCAGAGAATGCCAAATTTTGTGTCACAGAGGAAAAACCAAGGCACAGAGCCCAGCACAGTTACCCCCAATGTGCCTTGATTCCTGAACTTCCAGAAATTAGTTCTATACCCTTTTGCACACTCTAGCCTGCCTGGAAAAACTGGCTTTGGGGGAAAAAATAGAAATCACAATTTGCTACACATACTATACTTGGATATAGCGGTATTAAGTGAAAAAAGAGTCAAATTATGAAGACAAAAGGAGACATTTCAATAAATGCTTGACTTCTGTGTATGGAAGGACATTTCCAAGCCTTAGCATTGTGACAGAGCGAAACAAAAGGCTAACAGATTTTACATATGCAATGAAATTGCTTACACATTCAATGAAATACAAAAGAAACTTTAAGGGAAAAAGTAGGAATAACACTGTTAAAGATATGATATAACTAATTTTTTTATGGAACGCTTCATGAATTTACGTGCCATCCTTGCACAGGGACCACTTTAATCTTCTCTGTATCGTTCCAAGTTTAGTATATGTGCTGCTGAAGCGAGCACAATATATATAACTAATATTTTTAAGGTAATCTTAGAAAAGCATCAAATATATGGGAGAAACATGGGCCACAGAACCCACCAAGGAAGGGTTGAATTGAAGAGGGAAATGGCTAATAGATGAATGAAAACATGTTTAACTTTAGTAATCAATGCAAGATGCACATGTCACTTTTACATATCAAATGTGTGTGTTTTTGAAATGCATACCCTGAATTAATATTTGCAGAGCACTTCCATAATTTCTGGCACATAGTGGGGGCCTGGTGTTAATGACGGAGCATAACTCCCTGGCTGCAGGTAGGGTATCACATTTTTGGAGGGACATTTGACTGTAAGTTTCTTCACTGCCCTAAAACTAAACTACAAGTCGTTGAACTTGGCAGTGAAGACCTTGCTTCACTCTTAGCTACACCTTTCTGGCTGCATTCACTTCAGACCCCTCTTCTGCTTCTACCTTGGCCTTTTAGCTTTGCCTCATGCTGCTCTCACATTGCTTTCTTTGCCTGGTGCCTGTCTGGGTCTTTTGGCATTTAACATGTTGCTATCCCAGGGAGACTTTCCTGACCTCTCCAAACCCAAGCCAGGTCAGGTGACCTCTCTGGTCTCCTTAGCTCCATAGTTTCTCTCCCTCAGATCTAACACAGAGCAGGCTCCTTGTCTCCTGGACTGAACACAGTCACAAATGAGGTTGACTGGGTAAAGAGATGTCTGATCAGGAATGTCCTCTGAACCTAGGTCTTTTTCTTCTCTCTGAGATGACGTCTTCCACAGGTGGGATACAAGTGGAAGTTCATGAACTTTCTCAAAGGAAGGGAAGTCCCTAGTTATTTCTTGCCTGTCTTGGTGCTGAACAGCCTTGATCTTTCATGCCTGCTCCTAATCCTGACTGTTCTCTTTTCTGTGTCTCAGACTTACCACCTATCCCTGCCATTTCCTCTCAGGACTGTCACAAACTATCTGTCAGGTCCCAAATTATGTGATAGCTACATGTACTAAATAAACTGTTAACAGGACAGAGTCTCTTGGTCTCCCTGACTTCCCACAGAGGCTCCTTTATTATGCACACTCATACAGAAATTTATATTTGTAATTGAAAGTGTCCATATACAAACACACACATAACTGAATTGAAATGACTTTGCAACACTGATGAGACTCATGTTAAATCAACTCCTAATCTTGACTTCGATGACACCCTGTGCCACCTTCTGGCAAAGAGTAGGAAAGCAGATGTCTGCGGAGGGGTTGGGGGAGGGAGAGAGCCAGAGATGGTATGGCACCACCTACTGGCTTCTGTTAGCAGGTCTACGGATTGTTTAAAAGAAGCTAGGATTTCATACTGAATGTGAAGTTGTCTCATTTCCAAACTGTGGGAACTCATTTAAAGAAATGCATGTATATTTGTATTTGAACTCACTACCATTTCAGCCACTCTGCCAGACCTTAAAATTATTTTAAACCTCTGTGGCATGAATATTACAATCCAGTTTGGATAAGGTCCCTCAGTGTGTGGGTGGGTAGAGATGTTAAGATAGCTACCTAAATATGGCTTAGGAAATGTGGCCCCAATGCAGAGGTTCGCAGAAGACTGAGGAGAGGGAAAATCACCACCGGTCCAGTTGAAGCAGGTGGACGGGTCCTTGGTGCAGGTTGAGTCTTGTAGCATGCAGGGTGGTAGAACTTTCTGAACTCAGAGCCAGCGCACCTGTCCATGACATGCCATGTTGACAGCCAATCGGGGAGCAGTGAATCTCTGCCCAGCCAACGAGCAGCCTGGTTGCCTGGACACCTTGGCCCTGCTCCCTATTTCATTACCCTTTGGATCTCTGAACTATCGGAGCGCACCTTTGCAGCAGCTCTCTAGCTCTCTAGCTCTCTCCCGTCAGACATGCCAACCATTGAGCTGGACACGAATTTGCCTGCTAACCGCCTACCCGCTGGTTTAGAGAAGCGGCTCTGTGCAGCCGCCGCCGCCATCCTGGGCAAACCCAAGCACGTGAGCGAGAGATGGGTACCCTTGGCAAGGGGAGGTTGTTGGGGGTATGGGTTGGGCTTTATCCATGCCCTACCTCCCACAGTGACCCAGACTCGTCTCCTCAGGGACCCCAATCCAACCGCAAATCTCTTGATTTTCCATGCCCCATGAGCCCGCAGCACCCCCTTCCCACTGACTCCTGTGACTGTCCCCAGCCATGACCCCGACACAACCTTGAAGAACACCTTGAGCCCACCCTCCTCATCCCACATCGGAACCCCAGTGCTAGCTGGGTAGCTCGAGTTTCAGGTGAAACTTTCTTGCTCCTCACAGCACGTGAACTTGACAGTGAGGCCTGGCCTGACCATGTCGCTGTTCGGATCCACAGAACCCTGTGCTCAGTTACTTGTATCCTCCATTGGTGTGGTGGGTACAGCGGAGGAGAACCAAGGCCACAGTGCTCGCTTATTCCAGTTCCTCACCAAGAAGCTGGCTCTGGGCCAGGACCGGTAGGTAGCAAACCCATTTTGGACTGCTGGACAATCAGAGGCTGTGATCCTCCGCAGGGCCCCTGCATAAAGAGGGTGATAATTACATTCCTTGTCTGTCCAGGAAGGGCAGCCATAGTAATGTTTGGTGGAGACTGTAGGATGGAATGTATTCCTGACTCCTTAGTGTTCCCTGTTGTTGACCCATTCAAACTCAGAAACTGAAAAAGAACT